GTTGCTGAGAAGTCCAGCTGGAAAGGTACTGAGATTCCTATCAGGTTGCTGGTTCTGGCCATTGCTCTTTTGCACGACTCTCTGGTAGTAGATATCTGATAAATTTGAAGACCAGCTCCCTTCTACCTGCTTGGTGAATGAGCTTTTTTATTATCTTTTCATCCCACCCTACCCTCCTGGTAGTTGAATATCATTACTATTCCTATCCTTCCCCTAGCCCATTGGCAGTTAAGGCAGGTTTCTCTGATATTCTACCCTTTCTCTCACTTCCAGTATATTTATCCTTCTGCACCACTATTATTAATTATATTATTATTATTTATGTTGCCCTAGTGCAAAGAGCCCCAATCAGGATCAGCGCCCTGTTGTGCTAACACAAGGATGCATGTCTTGCTCAGAAGAGCTTATATTTTTAGGCCCAGACCCTGACACTGCTTCCATAGGGGCAAAGCCCTGCATGCATGAGGAGCTATCTTGACTTCAACACTGGTGTCCACCCCCACAGAGGCAGTTGCAGAATCAGGGCCTTAGACAATGGACATATGAGGCATGTGGAAAGAGAGACACTCAAATAAATACAATGATATGGTCTGTGTTATTTTTTTAAAAGGCTATAAATGAAGTAGATGCCAAGTGTCCGCATTCCCTCCCCTCCTCCCACAACCTAACCATTGTTAGGTATCTGATGTCTGATAGGTTTCATGACAGATGTGGATTTTGAGGAGGGATTTGAAGTAGGAGACAGCAGGGATTTACAGATTCCTTTAGAAAAGGAGTTCGATGCGTAAAGGGCAGCGTGTAAAAAGATGTGTGGAGGTTTGTGTGAGAAGCTGATAAACAAGCAGATAAGGCTGGTATTGTCAGAACAGAGGGTCTGGAGGCAACACAATAAAAGACCAAAGCGAACACTTTTAATATCTGTCTTTGCTGCTGCTTATAGCTTTCTCAAGAAACAGTAATATGACACTGATTGCTGGTTATGCTGATACTATGGCACGATTGCTGGTTATGTTGCTGCCCACAGGGTTTTCAGTGGCCGCCTAGGACTATGTCTACACTACAAAGTCTATGAGTGCATAGCCCTATTGTAGACACAACATATGTCAACAGCGGGAGGAGTTCTGCTGGTGGTGTAGGAACACCAACTCCCTGAACAACATTAGCTATGCCAGCAGAAGATCTCTTGTGTGTCTACACTGGGGGTTTTATTGGCATAACTATGATGCTAGGGGGTGTGGTATTTCAACCTCTGACCAACATAGCTATGTCACTATAAATGTAGAGTAGGCCTAGTCTAGAATCTTTAGTAAATTATTAACAGCAGCACAGGCAATGGAGCTCCAATTCACATTTGGAAGGTTATCTTAACATTTGTAAAATGAAAGCTTAAATTCTGCAAGAATTATTACTTGGGTCCCCTGCTCCAGAAGGAATGTTTACTATTTGCCCTATCTTAATCTTAATGTCTGAACTCATCCTGTTGCTATCTTGTTCAATAATTGACCAGCCACTCTGAGTTTGAAGATACTTCCTTCAAGTTTTAAAAAGTATATTAAAAAAAAATAGTAGTAGAATTAATATGGATTACTAAAGCAATGGGATCGCGGAGAGAGAAATTCTGAGGAATGAATTAAGTTAATTGTTATGACTTCTTCCTTTCCACTCTTCAGTTTTATTCTGAATCAGCTTCAGTCCCCACAAATGGAGTTTTGCCCTGGGCCATGCTGCAGACAGACCTAAGAAACCACTGTCCTCCTGCTTAACTAAAGATATATTTTCTCAAGGACCTTTGGCTACCATAATTCCAGCCTGCATGTGCCACTGGATCCCAGAATTTGCCAATTGTTATTGTTTTAAGTCAAAGCCATATTTGAGTTCTATCAACACAAAATGATATCTTAAACCAGTTAATTACTATTTTTTTAAACTCATATAACCCAGAGCCAGCCAAACCTAACATATAATGTATTACTTTAAAAATTTATTACTTAAAGCTGTCAGAACTGAAAAATCTTTACTGTGTATTGGCACATGAATGACATTTTCAAAAGGAGTTAACCAAATATGAATGAGAAAAAATCTAGTCTAAAGCTAAGAAAACCTTAATCTCCAGAAACCTTTAAAGAGTCAGTATAAATACTGTATAGATCCTACTACACTCACTATTGTGCTAGCAGGCTGCTCAGGCAAGTTTTAGAGGAATTATTGTGCTGTACAAAACTTTCAACAAATTCTGATAAAACTAATGCCCCAGTTTGATGAATTCAGAGTTAGTAAGTGGTTGAGTTTTGGGGGTTGTTTTTTTTTAAGTTACTTGAGAGGAATTTAAAAACAATACGTTTAAAAACTCATCACTAGAAATGCACCTACTTATGCCAGCAGTAATTTTTGCTCATAGTCACTACAGAAAATGAATGAAAAGTCGCTACAAAATATGAACTTCTTCATTTCACAAACTGAACACAGATCCTCCTGCTACTGTGACTAAAACCTTGTTAAACTTAAGTTAAAAGTGAATTGGAAAGAAAAAGAAAAAGGGTTTGCATCCTTTCATTACTGCTGTACAATGTATCAAAATGGGCTCAAGTATAATTAAAAATATGTAGTTATCTTATTTTTTCCTGCTTCTTTCTTACATTATAAACTCCAAGTCTTGAATTAATGTGTTTTGTCAGAGGACCAATTGGAGGACTGGAGATTTTAAATAAAACAGTGATGTCACAATAGGCTGATACCTAAGATGTAGCTTTACTAGTCCTCAGCTGAAGAAGGAAGGGTTGTTAAGTCTGTAACAGAGGCCTTATCTACATCACGGTGTAAGTGGTAGCATACACCACCAGCATAGAGGTGTTTTTACCACCATATTGTCTAACCCTGTTCAGAGTTGCCACTCGACGGGTGTGCTCTGAAAGCAAGACTTCAGAATTCTGTTTCCGTTGGCAAGTGGGTGAACATAATGTCCATGAAGGATAGTAACCATGTCCCAGATCCTCAAAGGTGTTTAGGCTCCTCACTCCCATTGAAATCAATGGGAGTTATATGTCTAAATACCTTTGAGCATCTAGGCTCAAATACCTTTCAGTTTTGTTAATGACTTCAATGGGAACAGGACTGGACCATCCTAATACCAAAAGGTTTGGACGTGACTGGAACTGAAGCTGATTGCAGGACCCTGGCTCCCTCCATAGTCCTTGCATTTACTCACTCCTGACCTGGCTCAGAACTCCACAGGTAAGTAGCTATGGCACCTCCTAAGGTCAGCAGACTTCACTCAGACCAGCAGCTCCTTATCTGCTAGAGCCTGATCCATAAGGACATTATATTTAAAAACATAAATTATTTATAAATAGAGATACAAATTAATATTTAAATGAGATAAATAAGGAGCTGGAATGATGCTGGGCCCTCACATAATATTTTTTATTATAGATTAGATAGAGCCTTTCAGTAATCAGCTTTACACTCCAAATCAAACACTCCCAACATATTACATTATTCAGCCAAGAGGTTCAGATGAACACATAACTCCAACAGGAAATTAAGTCTTACTAACCAAAGAAAAGAGCTAAATGAATCTGCAAATACAAACTCAAAACAATGTTTCTCTCAAATGCCATTTACTGTGTTGTGTTCCCTGAATCACCGGCAGCACATGCCAAACCTGTGGGGGGGAAAACAGAAATTGGGCTTGTTTTTGGCTTAATTGGCTTGTGAGCTGCTTCTTGGCTAGTTTTTTGTTTGTAGTTTGTTGCTTGTTTGGCTTGTAGCTTGTTGCTTCTTTTTTTTTTTGATTGGCTCCTGGCAAGCAGGGGCAAGTGGGGGAGAGAGTCAGGGGTGCACAGCGGGCCCACCACACTGCACGCCAGGGGGATCTAGTCACATAGAGTGTTGGGGTTCTTAGGGATTCGCTTGATTTGGCCTTGTTTTGAAATGGGATTAGCTTGATTTTTGGTTTATTGTGAAAGTCGGGGTGCTTATTTACTGCGTGAAAGTTGGCAACAGTGGCACATACACTTGTTTATCACACACATGAAACTGTTTGGCTATAAGCCACCATGTCATGGGGTGAATGGTCCCCTCTCAGGATCTGTTTCCACAGTCCCTCCCCTTAAACTGACAACATTGTCTCAGTAGAACGGAGCTGCCTGCACTAAGGCCCCATCTAAACCTGGTCCTAGTTTTTAGATAAATTAGACCCTCACCTATACAGAGCAAGCAACCACGTTTAACAACTGTATTTAGTTAAAACAGAATTTGCTGGATAGTGTGGCAGGAGGAGCCAAACTGTGTTATAGCCAGGTTTTAAAAAGATGTATTAGCCCAGGTATTGACGTAGCTCACACTGGCCATGTCCATCCTGACTAACCAAACCATGCTTTTGCCCAGATTAGCCACAATCATAAACTATGTTACCACACAGCTGCTTTGTGTACCTGCTGCGACCTTAGCTTGTGACATGATTTGAGTTGGACAGTCTGCCCATAGCTATATTGTGTTTAAACTGAGTTCAGCTAGCACGTGCTTCCCTAAGTGGGGTCTTAGAAACAGTCCCTGACTGCAACAACAGCCTTGGGGACCCGCTTACAACCAGTGCAGCGCCGCAGCTCTCTCCGTTGTGGGTTACAGAAAGCTGTGGGCATGAAGCGGGGGACCGCACACACGGCAACTGCATTGCGATTGGACCCCGGAACACAGATGTGAGTCCCACGGGGAGGGCACTCCCTGCCCGAGGGAGAAGGTTGTCGGGGGGGGTGTAAAACTGGGGAGGGAGGAGCAGCTCGGGCCGGAGGGCGGCGGTGAGTCCCTGTCACGGGGGCGGGGCCGGCCCTGCGGGTCCCTAGTTCCGGGGAGCAGAGACGGGACTCGTTGGCCTGGGCGGCTGTAGGGCCCTGGAAGCACCGATCCGCCCCACCCCGGCGGCCCGGCTCCTGCTGCCCCGCCCCACTACTGGGGCTGGAGCCGCCGCCGCCTCCCACGGCGCGTCAGCCCCAGCCGCGCCGATGCCACGTGGGAGGCGGAGGAGCCGCCGCCGGCGCCGGCCTGGAGCCCCGGGGCCCCCCCAGGCGCAGGGGGCGCCGCTGGCGGGGCGCCGAGAGGCGGGAGGCTCCCGGGAGCGGGCGGGGCCCGGCCTGCCCCGCTGGGCCCCGCGGGAGGAGGTGCTCGGCGGCGCCCAGGGAGAGCTGGGCCTAGCGGGGCTGGGCCCGGCCCCGCCCGGTAGCGCGGCGGGGCCTGCCGGGCTCTCCCACCCGTGGGCCGCCCCCGTCCCGCTTCTCGCCCCGCTCCTGGCCCCGCCGGCCCCCCGAGCGCAGGGCAGCGGCCTGCCCGCCGCGCTGGGCATCTTCCGGGAGCTGGCCGGGCTGGCGCGGGAGCCGGGGCCCGGGGGCAGCAGGGCGGGGGCGGCGCCGCGGCTGAGAACCGTGTACGTGAACCCCAGGTGGCTGGAGCGGCAGGCGGCCTTGGCGGCGGCCCCGGAAGGCCTAGTCGGGCCGCAGGGCCCGGAGGCTGCGAGCAGCTCGCTGGGGCCTCCGCCCGCCACCCAGGGGGAGCCCTGCCCGGAGGCAGCGAGTCCCTACGTGGGGCTGCGGAGACCCCTGGGCTACCAGCTGGCCAAGGCCACCAAGGAGCGGATCTGGAGGGGGGAGTTCATTGACCTGTTCTCCTTGCTCCACACAGAGCTGGCCCCGGAGCACGAGCCTGGCCAGGGGCTGGGGGACACGCTGGACCAGTGGGTCTCCGCCTTCCTGGTGTACGCCAGTGTGCTCTGCGAGAAGCACCCCAACAGGTGTGGGGCCATGTTCAAATACCTGGATGTCATCCGCAAATTCCACGCCACTTACGGCGGCACTTCCTGGCTGCACTATGACGAGGACTTCAGGCGGCTGGCGGCCAAGGACCCCACCATGGCCTGGGGGGATGTTGACTTGAATCTCTGGATGAAGTGGATGGCCCCGTTGAAGCCATCAACAACCAGGCAGCCGCAGGCTGCGGGTGACCAGCAGGCTCCACTGCGGCCTCAAAATTCCAGGACGGATGATAAAAGTCAGGTGTGCCGGGCTTGCAACAGTGGCACGTGCTCCCACACTGTCTGCGCACTAAAGCAGAAATGTACAAGGTGCCAGGGGCATCAGGGTGCTGCCCATGCATGCTGTGCATCCAAAGGGGAAGAGGAAGGAGGGCACATTGAAAAACCACGGAAAGCAGAAGAGCAGCAATGCTCAGAATGTCACTCGAGTTGAGACAGGGCCTCACTGCTAATAGTTTAGAGATTTTTTTCAAACAGATACAGATTATTTGGCTAAAAAAGTCAACTATGGATTCTTAGTTGACTGATGCAGCATTGTTTAGGGTATAAACAAAGCTCCAGCAAGTTAGAACAGAACACTTATTACAAAATGTGTTCCCTACTTGTATTAATTTTTTGGACATGCTACTACCCAACAGAAATTAGTTATTGATACTGTTGTAATGTTAAGGCTCCCCAACGATCTGTTTTTCCTCTTTGTAAAGAATATGTTGCTTCCCAAGAAATCGTGGGTGGGCGGGAAAGAAAACCAGGAGAATTGACCTATGATTGTTTTAAATATGTTCCTAATGATAGAGTTATTCATATACAAAACAGAATGTGCATGAGATTTTGCTGTTGTCATTTGGGGGGGGGTTTGGCATCTGCAGGTGGGGTGAAAGATAAAAGCTGGTCAAGGATGCACGTCAATGCAAGTGAGATAAACCAGAGTTTTGGTGGGCACAGTTTGCACCACTGGTAACGAATAGAGGATTCAAGTCAAACTCAGGATTCAACAGATTAAACCCACAAGAATTTTAGCCTGCCTTGTGCAAAAGCACAAGAAGAAGGCCTTGTCTACATTGAGGATTTGCCATTATTACAGTCATCGGTGTAACTGGACTGGTGCAACCCCTAAGGTACACCTGGTGTAGCTTATTCCATTTGAAGCAGGGAGGAGCTCTTCCACCAGTACATATAGCAGCTCTGTCTGTGTACATGAGGGGTTGCACCTGTCCAGTTATAATAATGACTGAAATGAAAGCAAATCCCCACTATATACAAGGTCAAAGACTGAATATTGAGTCTCGGGTCAAATGTATGCTAGTTGAAAGGCTTTGTTAATGCATTCACTATTCTTTTTTTAATTGTTTTGAGGACCCTAGGAGGCAAATGAATTTTTGATGCATCCTTTTGGATTCTTGCTATTCTATATTATATTTTATAGTGACTGACACAGAGCTGTTAAAGGGTGGGACTGTAGTAGCGTGATCTGGAGATAGATAACTTTTCTAGAATTGCAAGTATTTAATCAGTCACTAAGTCCTGTGTTTTGTACCATATCAAAACTGGTTTGTCTGAGCCAACTGCAAAAACAGTGGAAATGGGTACCATAGCATGTGTACCAAATCACAAGTACTATAATAGCTCCCAGTGCAGCTATTGTGACATTAGTACATTTTTGTAATGATAATACTCTATGCTTATGCAATTTGTTCTGACATCTCTCTTTAGACTTCTCATTTCTGAAATGTAGCAGATCAGTTTTTACTTCACTGCAGATCTTACCATGTGAGTACTCTAAATATAACATGTTAGACATATTTTTTCATCCTGTTAGAGATTGGATTTGCAGTTTGTAATCTTAATCAGACTCTTAATTCTGTTAAAGGTTATTCTAATTATTAGTACTGGGTATGGAACAGCTGTTGTATTAAGCACCAGAGGGCTTGATCCTCTTCCTATTGAAGTCAGTGGCAAAACTCCCTCTGATTTCACCAGGAATAGGATTGGGCTCAAATCTGCAGTGTTTTCCTAAGAATTTGAGGAAGCTGTCAGAACTTACTAGCATATACAAAAGTGTTAAATGTGTGTGGGAGGGTTCTTTTAAATGGGTTCAGATAAACAGTTTGTATTTTACGGTAAGGGCTTGTCTAAAATGAAAAATTGTGTCCACCTTAACTATAATGGTAGTTAACTCTATCAGTGTATTTAAAGCAGTATAGCTGCCCCTAGCATGAATGCAGTTGTATTGGTATAAAAGAGCTTATATCAGTGTAGCTTCCCATAAGGAAATAATCTCTCATACCGCTATAACTGCATCCACACTGGAGCACATACAGGTATAACTATTTGAGTTTTAAAAAAAAAAAAATTAGCATTCCTAACTGAAATAGCTATGCCAGGATATCTGTTATAGACCAGACCTAAGTTAAAGTGTGAGGCTTCCATGGCAGGGCACTGATGGAGGCACAAAAGTGTGGTGGAGTTGCTTTCCTTATGGGTGACCTGCAAAGGAAAACATTTCTTTTTCTGAGCTATTTATTGCTCCTTTATGATGTATAAAGATGGTCTCCAAGAAATAAAAGTTGTGTTGTCTGTGCTGGAAGACTATAGAACTAAATGGAATAGTAACATCACATTAAACTTAAATCTTTTTCATTTCTTGAATGAGAGAAGGGGATGCTGTCTTCACATAGGGAGCTTTTCTCCCAGCTGTTTGTTTGAATATTTCTTTTCATTTTTTTTGTTTCATAAAAACAAAACAATAAAAAAATTCAGTTTGAAGCAGTGTGACTAAACATTCTTTCCTTTTACAATTAAAGGCTGTGAAAACTACATCTTAGATTTCAGTCTCTTGTAATGTTTTTATCCCCCCCCAGTTCTCCTGTTCTACAGAAGGTTGATCACGGCTAGAACAAAATCAAGACTTGATATTTCTAATGTAAAAATTAGAAGAACTTTAAAAAAATCAAAAAACACTTGAGGCACTCTTTACTTCATAAGGAAGCAATCAAGAAACAATTTTTAAGGGCTGGAGTGAGAAACGATGTTTTTGTTTTGGACTTGATAGTTGGCATCAGTGAATCATCTGAGACAAATTCTTGAAACTTTTATGTCTAGATTAATTTTAGGTAATTCTCAATTTTTTTTTATACCACATTCAAGGAGAAAGCTAGTTGGAAGGGCAGTCCAACTAAATTGGTGAGTTACATACTATAACTGACTAACTCTAAAATTTAAATGTGTGTGCATTTGTTAAATACAGAATTTTTTATAGGTACCAACAGCCTGACTCCATTGTTGTCTAAGTGGAGCTCAGGTATTCTGTTGCACCCATTTACCTCTGCTTTTGCTGCATTGCATGCTCTGCTAAAGAAGACATAGGAGATTCATTTTACCCAACCAGCAGTTGTAGCAATGGACTACAATCAAGCCAGTTTGTTGGACAGTAGGAATACTTGCAGTGCAGCATTTGACACAGACTATCTAAAGAGGGCAAAGATTCAGGAGGGTGAATGAGTTGAACCGCCTTTGAATGAAGTCTGAAACAACTTCCAGAAGGGGAATCCTACTCTAAAATACTATATAGAAAGTATAAGTCAAAGTGAATATTGTAATTACCAGATTGTCCCTTCTCATTCAAGCAAACTATTTTGTGCTGTTCTGGGTCCTTAAAAGAACACACTTGAATATTTCAAAATCTATGTATTACACTTATTTAAAAAAAAAATTCAAATATTTGTCTTATTAACTTTGCCATTTCATGAAGAATATCTGCAACAACATGTACTGAGTTGAAATAATACCCTACATTCAGTAGATCAGCAACTGTTGACAGTTGTTTTATAAGATTCACACAACATTTCCTCTCTTTTTCCTCTGGGGGAAAGAAGTATTAACTTCCATTGGCACATTCAAAAAAGCCATAGGGCAGTCATACACACCTCGCTTCTTCATCACACATAGAGATGACAAATTATTCTTCCATGCATCCCAATAGTATATCTAGCATTGTAAATATCAAGTTATGAATGGTTATTGTCTGGTGCCAATGAAAGTTAGATTAGATGGATTATGGCTTAATTATTTTGGTTTTTTTTTTTTCCAGTGTTCAGTTTTTCTGTCCCCCTCACCTCACATACTAGGGCATATGATCAAGATGATCGTATTAGGTATCAGAAAATCAACCATTATCTGTTCTGTTTTTCCCATTCTTGGTTGTCACAATATTATGCACTAACTTGAAATGTTTGTAAATTCATATTAAAAATGTTTGAGACCTCATCTAAATAAATTTTTTTTATAAAAATGTCGTGCTTAACTTTTAGCCTTAGACTCATTTTTTTGTTCTCCTTTGTGCTGCCATGTTCCCTTTAATTGCCTTCTGACCCTTTCTGTTTTTGGTTTTTCATTGTGATGGTGCAGCAGAACCTTTTTGTGCATGGAAGGAAATTTTACTAGGATCATCTACAGAAAATACTTTGGACATGGAGCTATTTGTTTCCTTGGAACTTGGCTGTGTGTTTTACAAGGGTTTCCTGAGCGCAGTAACTGTTCTGGGGACAGATTCTCAGCTGGTGTAAATACACCTAATTCCAATGACTTTTGCGGAGCTGTTTATATCTACCTCCTGTTGTCCAGAAGTTGGTATGGCTTATAGTTGTGCTTGGATAATTCATGCTGTACTTGAGACAGTAACACTTTGAAAGTCCCAAAACAGGGCCTCCACGAGTACTCCGGTAGTCAGTGGACCACCTAGTATTGTAAAATGCAATTGTTAATTTTATAGCTCTGAGACTGAAAAGGCTTGTTTTAATTAAATGCATTGTCCAGGTGCTCAGGATTGCCATATTTGAATTCCATATTTTCCTGTTCTTTACCCTCCTTTTCTTCCTGCATGTTGTAAAATTCCTCTACTCAGCAATCATGTTGTCTCCCACCCATTGCTAGTGCTGCAGGTGCTGACTGGGGAAATGGTTGTTAACATTGATGCTATTGTGACCGGATCTCTGGGGTACAGCCTGGGATTGTGGGACTGTGTCCCCTTAACTCTCCCACCTGGGCTGTCTCTCACAATGCCTTGGTCGTGACCAGCAGCAAACCCCTGCCGGCGCTGTGATTGCTCAGCACAACAGCATGTGGAGCCCCACAGCCAGCTATATTGCATGGATGCTCCCAGAGCCACTCATGAATCACACACACAGAGGCATCAGAGCCAGATCACCCCCTCCCAGCACTGTACCCCAGGAATATACTGTCTTGCACTGCTCAACATGAGTAGGGCAAATTTATTAATTGGCTCACCACTTTATCAATGGAAAGTGGATAGACACCAGCCTTTGCAAAATCTGAGCAGATTTGCCATGGACTTCATACAAACTAACTGGTAGAGATAAACAGTTAAACAACTTTGACTATAAAAGATAGATTTGAAGTGATAGGCAAAAAGTCAGAGTTAGTTACCAAAAGAAATAAAATATAAGCATGCAGTCTAAATTCTCAACCCTGTTAGACTGGGCAGCAACTAGATTAAGCAGTTTTTCTCACCCCACTGGATATTGCAGTCCTTAATATACAGATTTGTCCCTTAAAGCTGGGTCAGTCTCCTCTGTTGGAGTCTTCAGTCTTCTCAGTGTCCTTGTTGCTTGTGTCATGGGTGGGGGCAGGAGAAAAAGCCAAGCATGTGGCCACTGTGTCTGGTTTATACCCTCAGTCCATGTGCTTGGAAAACACAAGTCCAGGCGTATCTGGGTGGGTATTGCTGAGTCTCCAGGCAAAGTTGAGCAATTCCCCTAGTGTGGCTTCATGTGGGTGAGCCATTGAATTGTAGGTCCCTTGCTGGACAATGGCTGTTGATGGGTTGTTTCACACCCCGCCCGGGCATTGGTTACTTTCCTTGCTGTTGCCTCTGGGGAGCTAATATCTGGCTGATTCCCCCGATTTACAGCATGTTTTAGTGACAACCATACAACATAATTCTCATAACTTCGTATGTGTTAATGATATGGATGGACAAATGATTTTCAGCAGATCATAACCTTTCCTCTGATACCTTACAAGGCATGCTTTATATGCAAGATCACAATCGTATATAAATGAGGCCAGGGCCGGCTCCAGGCACCAGCCCTCCAAGCATGTGCTTGGGGTGGCACCTGGAGGGGGGCGGCGTTCACCCGGGGAGAGCCGGGCCGTGGCCGGCCTCGCCGCCCTCCCCCCAGCGCTCGGGCCGCAGGGGAGAGCGGAGCTGCGGCGGGCTTGCCGCCCTCCCCCCGGCGCTCCGGCCGGCCGGGAAGAGCGGGGCCGGCCGGGGAGAGCGGGGCCGCGGCCGGGCTCGCTGCCCTCCCCCCAGCACTCCAGCCGCTGGGGAGAGCGGAGCTGCAGTGGGCTCGCTGCCCTTCCCCCCGGTGCTCTGGCCAGCCGGGAAGGGCGGGGCCGCCCTCCCACGGCGCTCCGGCCGGCCGGGGAGAGCGGGGCCCCGGCCGGGCTCTCCGCCCTCCTCCCGGCCAGCCGGGGAGAGCGGGGCTGCGGCCGGGCTCGGCGCCCTCCCCTGCCGCGCTCCTTGCTGGGGGCCGGGGGGCGGCAGGAGCCTTTTTTGGTCAGAGCTGGCCCTGAATGAGGCATATGGGGACTACAGGGTGCTCCCCTAAGATTCAGAATGTCACAGCTATCATCAGTGACACTTTTCTTCTGCTGGAGAAGCACTGTGTAAGAGCCGCACAGGTGTTCCTTCAGGGGTTATGGAAAACACATAGCCTTACTACTGCCTCTGAACTTAACTGTCTCCAGTATTTGTTTTCCCCTGAACTTGCTTAACTCAGCCCTTACAGCCTCCTACTGTCCTCAACAGTTAGTTACTTATATTGTTCACCTTGATGAGCCTGGTCAGCTATTCTCTGGTGGACAGGCAGGTAATGAGAGGCACTTCTAGTAACTCCCATTCTGTCCATGGGAATGACTGGCCTTTTCCCTTATGAACGCTGAAGTTGCCATGCCTTTGGTTAGTAATCATCCCAGTTGTGTGCACAACATTTTTTTCTTTGCCAAGTTTCACCAAATATAATGGAATCTCTAGTTGGAAATACTCTAAAATGCTCGGGACCTGAGTTTGCATTAACTGACGTGATTAGGAGAGTCAGCACCATTACAGCGTTATGGGATTCTGAAGTAGTCGAGCAGGCCCAAGTGTATGTACTGCTTGAGATAACTTCAAATGGTTTTTCTGATTTCTAGCAAGATAGAGAACGTGTTTTCACAGATGTGCTTTTCAGTGTCCTGGTTTGACATTGATTGTTGTTGCAAAGGGCAAATTAAAAACACTGAAAATAGAAAAAGTGCCAGATGCAACATGTCTCTGACAACACCAAGCCTCTTGTGTCTCTTCTGCAGCATACAACAGAGGAGAATTAAGATAGCCAAAGGGATTTTTCTTTGAGCTAGCTGATAGTGTCAACTGGCTAAAAGAGTGAGGTTACAGTAAAGGCAGCATCAATTTAATGGAGTTTCTTCACTGTAAAAACACCTCTAGTAACTTCTACCCAAAGTATTTGAAATTAATTTTGAGCATTTGAAAAATGAAATAATATTGACATTATTCTGACCTGACTGATAAGGTGACTTGTCTTATCATCCTCTCTTTAGCTGAATGAGCTGTATCTGGAGAAACCTCTGCTCGCCAAACACTTGACTCTAGCAAAGTGATAACCTTTGAGCTCTATTATGCGGGAGGGGGGAGGACCATATATGATTCAGATGTGGCTTCAACTGCTATTCTAAAGTGCTCTTTT